TATATATATATATATATATATATATATATATATATATATATATATATATATTCGTTAATATTTGATTAGTTTTTCTGGTACAAAATTCAAAATTTGTTAAAACATATATGTTCGATTAAAATGTCAAAAGTTCATTCTATCTCATTCATACCGATTAAATACCTAATTTTAAATTTATAGTCAAATTTCCTGAAAGACTACCTTTAATTATTTTCTACCATTTATTTTTTAAACATAATTATTTAAATGAAATAGTTAATATAATATAATTTCTACAAAAAGTTACATATAATTAGTGAGTACACATTATACAGAACAGGGTTCTACTAATTGATGGTTGATTCATTTTTTGGGAATTGTGTTTTGGTTCTTTCACGAAGCAATAGGGTTCTACTAATTTTTTTCTTTAAATTCTTAACTTCTCTGCAGATTTTGAAGGATTTCTTGTTATGGGTTCATCAGGATCTTGGCGTCTGGGGTCCCGTTGTGTTGTGAGTCACTCTACCCATTTATTGAAATGATCCCTTCTCAACCAACCATCTCTTATTAGAAGCACTATAAATGCAGGGCCATTGCATACATTCCATTGACAATCATGGCTGTTCCTGCCTCAATCCTGACAGTAAAATTACATACTTTATGCTCATTCATGACCAGCCTTACCTAGTTTCTTAAGCCATCATTAAGTTTTATCTCTACCTTTTCTGCCTCAGCTTGGGGGTGGCTACTTGTTTGGGCTACCCATTGCCATTGTTGCTGATTCTATTGGTGCCACTGCTGGTGCTGGGGCTGCATTTCTTCTTGGAAGAACTGTAAGTTCTTGGATTCAGTATGCCTTCAATGCATTCCTGTCAATGTAATTCATTTGAGTTTCTTACTATGTGCTGCAGATTGGGAAATCCTTTGTTGTTTCCAAGTTGAAGGACTATCCGCAGTTCCGCTCGGTTGCTATTGCAATTCATAGATCTGGGTTTAAGGTTTTTATGTGGAAAGTTTTTTGTTTTTTTAAGCTGCTTTTTTGTCTTGTGCTTAGCTTTTGACTGCTGTGATTTGCAGATCATTCTGTTACTTCGGCTTGTTCCCTTGCTTCCGTTTAACATTATGAATTATCTTTTGTCTGTGACTCCTATTTCACTTGGGAAGTACATGTTGGCTTCCTGGTTGGGAATGATGGTATGTTCCTCAACTTTCTCCGCGGCCTTAATTTCTTGTTGATCATTTTTACGAAATTCATAACCAAGACGGATGGCGCTTACTCTCCGCGGCCTTAATTTCTTGTTGATCATTTTTACGAAATTCATAACCAAGACGGATGGCGCTTACGTAGTGAACGAATTCGTATTATGCCATTGGAAAAAGCTAATTCAAAAGCCTAATGAGTTATCTTAGTAACCAAATGTTGTAGGGTTATGTGGTTGTTTCGAGAAAGTAGTCAGTGTTGAGGATTGTTGGGAGAGGGTATCAGAGTCCTGCCTATGCCAATAGAATCCTCAAATGTCAAACAAAGAAGTTGTGAGCCTCGAAAGTGTAGTCAAAAGTGACTCAAATGTCGAACAAAGGGTGTATTTTGTTCGAGGACTCTAGAGAAGGAGTCGAGCCTCAATTAAGAGGAGGTTGTTCGAGGGCTCCATAGGTCTCAAGTGAGGTTATATAGTATACTTTGTTCGAGGGAAGGATTGTTGGGAGGGAATCCCACATTGGTTAATTTAGGAAATGATCATAGGTTTATGAGTGAGGAATACATCTTCATTGGGATGAGGCCTTTTGGGGAAGCCTAAAACAAAACCATGAGAGCTTATGCTCAAAGTGGACAACATCATACCATTGTAGAGATCCGTGATTCTTAAGAGTCAGAATGTACAAGCTAGTTTGAACATTCACTCTATGAAAGAAAGAACACTCATTTAAAAGGAAAAGAAATTTATGAAAAGTCATTGATCCTTGTTAGATCAATCACATTGATAACTTTATAGCTCACTGAAATTTTTTGGTGTTCATGTGGTTGGCTCATATGCTTGTTTCACATTGATTTCCAAATGATTATTTGGTATTTTTTGGTGTTCATGTGGTTGGCTCATATGCTTGTTTCACATTGATTTCCAAATGATTATTTGGTTGCAGCCAATTACAGTTGCATTAGTTTACGTGGGAACAACCCTTAAGGATCTATCTGATGTGACTCATGGCTGGAATGAATTTTCAAAGTCTGATTGGGTAAGCTAATTCAGGTTCCATCGTTGGCTAGAGACATGGCTGGAATGAATTTTCAAAGTCTGATTGGGTAAGCTAATTCAGGTTCCATCGTTGGCTAGAGAATGATACTCTCTAATTGTTAGGTATTTGAATGAGCTGATATAATGACCTCCTTTCTCTAGTATGATGTAAATTTGATATTTCGTGAATGCAGGCATTTCTCGTGTTGGGTCTTTCGATATCTGGTAAGTGCCAACTCGTATGTATAACGATATTTAGCTTCTTATAACGCACATGCTCACATTCCTCAGTCAAGGAAGTGTTCCCCATATGATCCTTGAGCAAGGC